TGATTTCAATGCTCCTCTGATACGGAGGTGGTAGTAAGGTAGAGGAGATGGGGATGACGCGAGCGGAAACATTGTCCACAAAGGCCATTCACGCCATTATCTTTTTTGAGTAGTCCAAGCCAAGTTAAGGTTTTAACGCACAATTAGGTAAATACGTATGAAGGACCGGTAAAATAGTGCGAAAAATGGACATGGTGTTCGCTGTTTAGTAAGCAAAAATAAACTTATATTCGCAGATACTGAAAAGTCAGACAGGGGCAAGAAGTGCGAAAGATATATGCGAAGTATGACTGATGAAGTTGAGGACGCCCAAAGTCAATGATGTGCAAATATTATCCAAGTAAATGTAAAACAAGATTTGGGTGCGGCAAATACTGAATTGGTGTCAAATTTTCTAGCAATGACAAAAGCAAATATTAAATAAATCAAAGTATATTATAGCAAGTTAAAAGTAGAACGCCTTTGTAGTCTGGAGTTTCATGTCAACGACGACCAACCGTAGGTTTGTTGGGCTGCAGGCCGAGGTATCCATGACAATGAAGGAAGTAAGATGACAATAAGCCCGCCGCCAAAGTGCAATCTACTAAAATTAAAGTCAGCCTGCCACTTCGAACTTGAGGTAAATCAGCAGATACCATAGTAACACATGGATAGTTGCCCTGTCAGATGTGACAACCGGCATTAATTATATGCTCGGGGTAAGAAAATGTTCACTTTTGTTTAACAAAGTAACCAGCGTTCTAACACTCCTGTTTTACTGGCAGACGTAGGCATTCCCCCTAGCACTATTTTGAGTACTTTGAATGTATGACTGTTCTCCGCCCCGAATTTTTTTTTTAAATAAACTTTCATATCCCTACGGGGTCATGTGTTGGGGATGTAGCACAATGAACTAGTGTAGGCGTTTCACCAGCTCCGGTTACTGGGCTGATGCAGGCCAACGAATGCCATCCTGCCGTCGAAGAGCCGACCGAAAACTTTACCGAATAATGTCTACGTTTAGAAATAGTATGGTTCGTTCTTCTTGCCCCCGCGTATATGCTTAATCATTTCCGATATGGTTATTGCAGTTGTGTAGATCTGCCCTACCTAGTTTTATATTAGAGATCAGTATACTCATGATACGGAGGATAATGAAGGCCAATCTGTCCTCCGTATCGGACAGGTGACTTAAGCAAAGTACAGCTGGAATCGGAGTCAGCCACAGGACTGTAGATGAATGGTGAGGAATCTGCAGTAGTGCCTGCAACATGGATTTTCTAGAGGAAGTACCCCAACTTAACAGGTCATGGGATGTGAGTCCAAATTGATGCGACCATGGGCAGCTGAAGGGAGTTTAATGCGGGACAGAGAAGGAGGAAAGGGTAAGCATTTGCCATGTTCAGTACATGCCCGAGTGAGGCCACTTCGAGCAAGCGAACGACAGAGCTCCTCTCTCCTCTTGACAAAGGGCTGCTATCAAAAAGTGCGTGTTGAGGGACAGTACTGTCGTAACAGACGAGCGGAAACAATGTGCCCTCCTACCGTGTGAAGAGCAGGAACAGTACACCAGACGTCACCACTGCATCTTACTACCATAGTGCACATTGTGGGCTGGTGTCAGGTGGGGCGGTGTGGACCTGGTCATAGTTCGATGTCAGGACAGACGCCCCACGCCCCCCCCCCCCCAGCGACCTGGGGAAATTTTCTTACTCAGACAGCCGATGCACATCAGATGGAGCAAGCTACACCACAGACAGCTGCCAAAGAATCATCACAGTAGATAAAACCGCCAAAGATAACCGACAGATGAGGGCTAAAAAACTGGCGGCAAACTCGGGCGGCTCTCAGACGATTTATTTGCAGATTGCTATGCCTGCTAATCATTCCCCCGGCCCCACAACGTTCTTTACATTATTATCCACATGCGAAGAGCAGTGGAATATATGTATGTGCCAAAGTGAGGGGAGTCGTT